AACCGCCATTTTTCGCTAGTGAGCAGGCACAATGTATTTCCAAGTGGAGGGGTGGGCAGGTTGCACGCGGTTGCAAACCGCCATTTTTCGCTAGTGAGCAGGCACAATGTATTTCCAAGTGGAGGGGTGGGCAGGTTGCACGCGGTTGCAAACCGCCATTTTTCGTTGCGCAGCGCTAGCGCGGGTTGCAACCGCGTGCCACCTGCCCACCCCTCCACTTGGAAATACATTGTGCCTGCTCACTAGCGAAAAATGGCAGTTACAAGTTGGTAAATAATCTTCATCGACGAGTAATATAGCAAGTACAACATTTAACCGTTAGTTTGCGGTTTAATTTTAGTGTTTGCAGTAACTTAAGACATTTGTGCGGCAGAGAATGTGCTTTATTTGGCGTACCGAAGAAGTTATTAACCGCAAAAAGTTGTCTTTGCTTACTACCTGGAAATTGCCATAGTTTGTTCTATAGCCCTGCGGCGGAGCGGAGGGCTATAGTTCTAGAGCTACGTATAAGCGTGCTTAAGTTGGTCCCGCGCATCCCTAATGGCTGGTTCCATAGCCCAGCGGCAACAGTACGCGGGCTATAGTTACTAGAGCTAGGAACACTCCTAATGGAGTATCACCCGAAATGTCTACCATTGAAGTACCAATCTCCAAACTAAAGTAAAGTCTCAATGTTTATCACGAGTATCATGAGTATTTGTATTCTCTATCGCCGAATAGTAATAATCCTACGTAAATGCTATTCAAATGCTGCTCTGCAACACACAATTTCACTGCACGTTCAGTATGCGAATGTAAAGGAGGAAGAGAGTAGTAATTTGAATTTTAAACGTACTGGCCGAGAATCCGAAAATCCGGACCGACCCAATCCCTGAGCAGCTCCGGATTTTTGGACTACTACTGTATGTTGTTTTATTTTAGCAAGCATCTAGACGGTAACTTTACATTTAAAGTGATTACGTCACCGTAAATAGAAAAAAATAAAAATAATATTTCCACTTTTTCACAAAATATAAGTAATACTGTTCACATTTTATGGTTAAATTGCTGCATTATACTTCTTATTTTACTATATTGTTTGATGTGAACATACACTCGTGACGCATATATAGCCCATAGCAAGCGATTAATATTATAATGTCAGGAACACTAATATCAAATCGTCCAGGTTTTTTGGATTTTTAGCTAGTTGAGAAACAATCTTATCAGGTAAGAATTTGACGATACGTTTAGTCCCGTTAGTTCTTACTTTTAATGTAAAATAATGGCAACAAAAATTTTACAAATTTTACCATAGAAAATTCGTGATGCACGGTAGTCTATTTAAGTGATCTACCTTACATATAGTTACTAGCATGAGCATAAATAGTATGAGGTAATAATGATCAACATGTACTTTATGTCGCTAGTTTTAGGCCCACATTTAAGAAAACGGCTTGTCATTAACAAAATTCTATTTTAGTATTGGACCTATTGGTAATAAATGTGTTTCTCAGTACACAGTATAAAGTGTATGTCTAAGTAAGTCTATGTATATCTGCACAGTGTTTCCCCTGGCCAAAAAGAATAGTCTGTGAGGTGGTAAACTTTTTTTGTATTGGTGTGTTTGCGCGTTTCGAGGTCCTAGCAAAGCGAGCACTGCAGTTGCTTACCCAGTTAGGGGGTGGGGGGCAGGGGCATGCCCCACCAGAAAATTTTTGAAAAAATGGTGCAATTTGGTGCATTTTAAGCTATTCTGAACACGTCATGTCAGCAAGGCGATGTTCGGCGACAAATTTTTGTATGGCAGCTGAGAATTTGAGCGGCGCGCCTCGCTCGTGTCAATGCAGGGGAAACACTGTCTTCATATGTTACGTGTTGGTCCAATGGATTGGTACCACAGCACAGGCACTTGACACAAGATGATAAAGCAAACCAATCGTCATCGATATTATTCATCCCTGTTACTCGAGGCCCCCGCACACTGTGCGCATTCGGCGTGCGCGAACGGCGCTGAGCTAAACGCGCGCGCCATTTCCGCACGTAAACCAGTCCGCAGACGGTGCGCATTCGACGCGCGTCAACGGCGCTGAGCCAGAAAAATCAAACACGATAGATATTTTGCACGCGCATTCGGCTCGCGCGCCAGCCCACACACGGTGTGCATTCGGCGCGCACCAACAGGGGCCTTCATGCTCTGTTCCCGACCACAGAAAAGCTCGTAGATACAAACGCTGAATATATTCCTTTTGGTGTATATTTACAGATCGAGTCAAGTGCCTGTGGTGTCACACGTGTCACATGTTCGTAGTCAACACCAGAGGCCAGCGGAAGCTTGGCAGGCAGTCGCAAGAGGGTACTTACGAGTACTACTGTCGCATATGCACGTTGCAGAATGTCTCGCCCGTCGAGGCGGCGAAGACTGGCATAGAGAGTGGCGCCCTCTGCGTGAACGTGCGTCGTCTGCGGGCGGACGACTGGTCGCCGTTGCTGCGGCTTGTCGCGACGCCCGATAACGGGCTGAGAACGATTAGCGTGCAAGGCGGAGATGGGAAGGCGCCGCCGAACGCCGGGACGGCGTGCCGGCGACTCGATGCGAAAACGACGGGCAATCTCTGCGCTGCTCTGCGTACGAGCCTAGGAGCTAGTTCCTCCTCGCTCCACCACGTGGCGCTGCGGTCGGTGCGCCTGCGACCGGACGATGTCGCGGCGCTGGCCGGCGGTCTCCACGGCAACGCGATGCTGCGCGCGCTCTCGCTGCGAGGCTGCCGCCTAGGCGACGCCGGATTCGCGGCACTGATGCACGGATTCGCCGCAGCAACCGCGCTCGTCTCGCTCGACGTCAGCGGGTGCGAGCTCGGAGAGGCGTCCGCGCGTCTGCTCGCCGCCACCGTCGCCCGCCGGGGGGCGACACTGCAGACGCGTGCGTGGCAGGCGAGTCTGCGCTGGCGCGACCCCAACCTCACCGCGATGTCCGGCTTCCGGCACCTGCGGCTGAACGACAATCCGGCGCTGGGGGACGGCGCGGCGAGGGTGATCGCGGACGCGCTGCGCGACGACCTCTGGCTGAAGGTCGTCGAGATGCAGGCGTGCGGCATGACCTCGTCTGGGGTCGCGGCCCTCGCGGACGCTCTAGCCGTCAACACGACGTTGTCCGTGCTCGATGTCGCGAGCAACGACGTCGCCGCGCCCGTGCTCGCGTCCCTCCGAGCGGCACTTCAGCGCAATAGCCATGCGGACATGCCGCTGGAGTACGAGGAGTTGCTGATCGCCGAGAAGGCTGAGCGCGCGCATGCGGGCACGCGTCCAGCGACTGCTGTGAGGAAGGCGACCGGTCCGCGGGACGGCCACGCCGGCAGAGCACCGGCCGCCAGACGTCAGGTGACTTCCACCGCGAAAAAGTTGCATGCGCCGTTATCCAACACAAGAACGTCTTCGCGGCCGAAATCTGCGTCGGCGAGGTCGTGCGGCGCAAACATGGCGCGGGACGTTACCGCGCTGCGCTCTCAAGTGGCTGCACTGCGTGCAGAGGCGGCCGAGAAAGAAAAGGCGTTGTCGGAGGAGCGGCGGCTGCGCGTCGCGGCGGAGCGGAAGCGTGACGAGCTGATTGCTGACAACGAGTTCCTGCGCCGAGAGGTGGGAAGCATCCGGGAGGAGGCGAGGCACGCGCGAGGGAGGGGAGAGGACGATGCCGACCTCGCGGACGTTCACGCCACCATCACGCAGTTCCATAAGTTCCTCGATCTACTCCATACTGTTGTGCCAGATCGTCGATGAACGCAGACGACGAACATTGGGAAATGTTCGTGTATTCACTCTCCTGGGTGTTCTGTATGGATCGGTGAATGCAGACAATGAAAAACTCGGGCCATCACCTCAGACAGCAGGGGTAGAAATTAACTTTCGAACACGGGAGTCCAACAGACTCCCTACCCTCAAAAAGAGGGAGTCCGCGGCAAAATGAGGGAGTTCGCAGTCTGAGGTTAAAAATGAAAGATATTAACAATAACGTGTGTGCTTATTTTTAAGATTCATGCAGTTGCACGTCTGCCAAATTTTCTTTGGACATTAGCTGGAAAATTACGGTAATTCCGCGAGGCCATGCTCCGGACCGAACTAGTTAGTATGGCATAATTTTTAGGGAGTCACACGGACTCCTGCATATATGTCAAATCAGGGAGTCCGACAGTAAATCAGGGAGTATTTGACTCCGGATTCCCGTTAATTTCGCACGCTGGGACAATGTATGGCATTCATTGCTTTCTTGGGTGTCCCTGCGTGGCATGCTGAACTGATGAATTCTGACAGTGAAACCCTCTTACAGGGTGCGAAATTAACGGGAGTCCAGAGTCAAATACTCCCTGATTTATTGTCGGACTCCCTGATTTGACATATGCAGGAGTCCGTGTGACTCCCTGAAAATTCTGCTATACTTGTTTTGTTTCTGTTTGTACGTAGCATTTTCGTTGTATTTATTTTAATTAAGAATGCGGAAGAAACACACTGTATTATGCCCAAGATTTCTTGTTAGTTAAATTTTAATATTAAATTTTCAAAATAAGCACATGCATTATTGTTAATACTAATAGGTATTTTTAGTTTTGAACTTCAGACTGCAGACTCCATCATTTTGCTGCAGAGTCCCTCTTTTTGAGGGCAGGGAGTCCATTGGACTCCCTTGTTTAAAAGTTAATTTCTACCCCTGCTCTTAAATGTTCATGAATTTTCACTCGCTGATGTTCCATAGCATGCAAAAAACCCTGAACAAATGATCTCAGAGTAATTGATCTCTGCCAGAGCATAATCTTACAGATTTTTCTAATATCAACAATCCATTATCTATATTGCAAAGGAGATGTATTTGTAAAGCAAGCACGTTGTACATAAATTAACAGTTTTGTATTGGTAAGTTGAGTAATATTTTTTGTACGTATTTCTTTGCATAGGTATGTTTTCGCATGAATTATTCTTGTGTGTGTTGTGAGGTTAACTGCTCACTGTTATGCATGTATCTCTATGGAATATGGAATAAATATTGCTGATTAAAAGCCTCTGTATGTGGGAATTCTTTTTGCAAGGTCACAGGCAGGAGGCTGAAACGTGCTGCGGATGTAAAACAAACCTGGTCTCAACGGCTATGTACCTCGCCTTTTACAAGAAACACGAATGCTTACAGTGTGGTTACTCCCCAGTACGGTATACGGCTAACAAATGGCGTTAGAAAGATCCCTACAGTTCTTTTGTAATGAGTAAATCCCCAAGTCCACCCTTTGTGGCAATCGTGAATAAAATCTCCATATATACTTGCTCGTGCACGTTCTATGTGCATGCTTCTTTCTGATGGTGAATACAGGCGAAGCAGGATGTGGTACATTCAGTCTTGCAGCAATGCACACCCGCAGCATCAGAGAGAGAGAGAGAGAGAGAGAGAGTTAGGGTTGCTACAAATGTTGCTAAGGCTGCTACCTGGTGCTAGGAGTAATATATATTATGCTCCCAGTGCAAACTGCTGTTAGATCGTATCAGGAGTGAATAACAATAGATAATAATAATAGATAATAGTTAATAATAAATAATAATCGATTATTATTCTCTCCTGATCGTACTATGTATGTGCGATGACATCTCGGTGACGTCTAGGTCGTGTCTCGCTGCAGCAGTGACGAGCGAGACACATGGAGTGGGACTATGATGACTATGGCGACGCCGGCGACGCCGCGATGATGTACGACGACGCTGCCATGTACGACGACGACGACAACGACGTGGAGGGCTACTTCCCGGAGGACGCATACCTGATGGAAGAGGAGTACTTACGCTACGCGATACCGCACGACCCGCATCAGGCACTCAATTTCAGTGAGGTCAGTGGTACGAGTAGAGTAAGAGTAAGAGTAGTAAGTGGAGTAGTAAGAGCGTAGTAGTAGTAGTAGTAGTAGTAGTAGCAGCAGCAGCAGTAGTAGTAAGAGAGTAGTAGTAGAGTAGTAATAGAGTAGTAAGAGAGAGTGCCACAGGAATTGCCTGCAAGCACTAGTAGGTCGCAAAGCACAGGAGAGGCATTTTTTTAAATGTTCTTTTCGTTTTTCTTCACCTTTATTCCTCTTTTCATTTATTCCACTTTTTCATCATTAATTTTCCTGCTTTTTCCTCTTTGTCTGTTTTTACTTGAAGACGTTTTATCTTATTTTGTAGGTGTTGGACCAGTGTGTGAGGAGTTCCCTCACAGATGCATTTCGCTTCACATTTCCCCTGATTGGTCTCTGTCTCACCTTGTATGTGAGCAGTCTAATGGGTATGTCCTTGAATTTGACCTTCAGCATCAGTGCCACGGCAAGCAATGAGCCAATTGTTGCATAAATCATTTTCATTTTTATTAATAAATATGATTAATTAATTAAAAATAATTAATCCGTAATTAATATAATTTACAAGCTTTCCTAGTAATTCCATGTGTAAATGTGCTCGTGTCATTATCATAATCGTGAGCTTGGCGCTGTAAATCTTATTCATATAAATAACATAATTATGAATTTTAATTATTTATTAGCTATAACCTTATTTTACTGTGTGTGAAAGGAACAATCGGCAGAGAAGTAGAATGTTGTTCATTTTCTGGGCATCCCGGAACGTACCCTGGTCACGTATTTGAAATGTAGGGTTAATAGGGTTAGGGTTTCGGTCGGTTTGGGTGAGCGGTTAGCGGTAGCAGGCGAGGACGACCCCTAGACCGTTAATGGAGTCGGCGAGGACTGTCCGGCCTATAGATAGTACGAGGACGTCCGGGTATACCGGAACGTACCTGGTCACTATTTGATATGGTTATGGGGTTAGGCATTCGGGTAGGGTTCGGTGTTCGGCGTGTTGGGTAGGTTAGGAGCGCGGCCGCGTAGGCGACTCCCGTAGACTCGTTAGTGGATAGGCAGGTAGCTGTCGCGATATTATAATGTACCCAGGCGTACGTCCGTATCGCCGGAACCGTACCCAGGTACGTTCCGGCAGTACCAACCGGGGACATCAGACCCCTCAGGCATCACTGATGTATATGGTTTCTTTTAGGTCAGGGTTTTGATGCCTATATCCACATAGTTGCCATCGTGTGTGGCATGAGTGGTCTCTACTATTTCTTCCACTATAACATGGTATGTAGTGGGCATAAAAGCTGGACTATAGGGTATATACGATTCACCTCATACGTCAGAGATGATCGCGAACAGCCTCACGAATACGATATCAATAGCGCAGCGGTCCTATCGAGATACAAATGATACACGTGTAAATAGACCCCTAAAGTGTAGCAAACTATAATAAAGGCACGTGATTCCTTTTAAATTGAATTCTTTCTATTAATTTATAAACTCCGCCGGTTGTTCTTTGTCAATAACTAGTCAGTCGATCGTGGAACGATTGTTCATCATCACAAGTTAACCTGTGTTTTGGTTGGGCATCGTTATACTTGCCTTCAGGTGTACATTGTGTTCCTGTCTGTGCTGGGCTACCTTGCGCTGGTGTTTGGTGACAGGTGGCTTCCTCAAGGACGAGGAATTAGGGTGGCAGCCATATGCGCCCTCTACTTGATCACGTGGTGAGTTTTCCTGCCGACGTTGACCGTCGCGACGACGTTTCGCATTCCGCCGGGCCGGTAGATGTAGCATCGATGCTTTTTTAGCTTTCTGCAGACCCTTTCAATTCGATTTACGTGCTCATGTTTGAACGTGCGTAGATTTTGTTGACGCTGCATTGACGTATTAGTGTGGCATCTGTTTATTATAGTTGTTCGTAGTCGAGTCTGCGGTAGTGTATGTGTGGCATCTGTTTACATGCTTGTTTATTTGGTTTTCCACAGTGAGCTTTATGTAGCAGAGGCAACGACGTGGCATCAAGTCAGAGGTGAGCATTGGTTTTACAAAATATCGCAAAAATAAATTATAAATTTCGCAGATGCACGCATACACACTCAGACCGACACACAGACAGACGGCTCACGCACACACATACACATGCACGCACCCATGCAAGTGAACGTATACACGCACAAGCATAGACACGCACGCACGCACGCACGCAGGCACACACACACACACACCAACGCACACACGCACGCACACATACACACGCCCTCACGCACGCACGCACGCACGCACGCACGCACGCACGCACGCACACACACCAACACGCACACACATGCATGTCTGCACATGCATGCACGCACTCACGCATGCACACACACACGGAATCATCCACGTACGTATACACATATACATCTCTGTTGAAACATTTCAGGAGCACAGATGATCATGGTGATGAAGCTTGTCTCACTAGCATTCGACGTCGACCACGGCACTGTGGGGGCGCCGCCGGGCACACTTGAGTACGCCGGCTATATGTATAACGCTGGCACGGTTGTGTTTGGTCCATGGATCAGTTTCCGCGAGTACAAGCGCATCACCTGCGTCATTTTTCCGGTGAGTGTTGGGAACCACAGAACCAACAGAATGCAAACAAGATATACGCCCCTACAGCGTTCAAACAGATTCCTGTCTACAGTAATAAGTATATATAGATACTACTATATATATTTATATATTTATTACTATATTATTTTATATTTATAATTATTATTTTATTTATTTTTATATATTTATTTATATTTATATTTATTATTAGTCTTATCTACGACACAAAGCTCACCACGAGTCCCTGGTCATCAGAGCTCTTCGACCAGCCCAGCCCTGACGAGAACAGGGTAACTTGTGAGAAGAAGCATATGAAGTAATGACTCATGAAAACGGAATGAGCTGCGACCGCTCTCCCTTAGCCGCTATTCAACCACCTGAAGTCAAAATCAGATACGATGTCATGAGAGATCATGATAACCTCTGTGACGGTCGTGGTGCGTGCTGCCGTCACTCGTGCCTCAACTTAAGCCCGCCGCACAGCGCTGTAGGACACTTAGCTGCGCCACCTTTCCACACATTGCGAGAGGGCCGCCCAGCAAATTTCCATCAGCAATGTTGCGTGAGCTTTAACCATCGATCGATTTCTAAACGAAAATCAACAACACTTGGAATGGCAATCCTAGCATATGCATGTGTTCCTAGCTTACGCGGTCGCCGGACCTATATATATAACCAACCTAACACTCAAGGTTTCTTATACGATATAAGAAGGAGGCCCACGCGTCGCGCGGCGTGCGGGCGACCCGCCGCGCGCGGTGTCAAGATGTTTAACATCGGTGCTCTGGCGCGCGTCGCTCTAAAAATTGTACCGAGGGACACCTATTTTTCAGGCCTCACGGGCCGATTTCGGAGTTTGGAGCCGAAATCGCTCATCGCTTACCTGGCTGTATCTGTTGTACCCTGACTTACCCTGATAGTGACTCGATATATCGAGGTTGTCCTCTTCCCATTTTGACACATAAGAGACCCTCTCTCTCTCTTCCTTCTCTCCTCTCTTCCCTCTCTCCTCTCTCTCTCTCGTGCGTGCGGTCTCCTCTCCCTCCTCTCCCTCGTGCTGCCTGCTCCCTCTCTACTCCTCTCTCTCTCTCTCTCTCTCTCTCTCTCTCATCCTCTCTCTCTCTCTCTCTCCTCTCTTTCTCTCTACCTCTCTCTCTCCTCTCTCTCTCTCTCTTTCTCATCTCTACTCGTCCTTCTCTCTCTCTCTCTCCTCTCTCTCTCTCTCGGTCACGTCCTCTCCTCCTCTTCCGTCACGCTGCCAGGCACTACTCACCTTTCCGCTTTTAACGCAGGAACCGGCAGCCAGCCACAGGCCGCAATGCCAGGCACAGCGCGGATCACCGGGCCAGGACAGCCAATAAGCAATCCGTAGATTCTTCTCAGCACACTCCACACACCAGTTGACAGCTGCAAACACACCAGTTCAGGCGCATGAAAATAACTTATTTCATCTAAGCGGAGCTCCAACAGGCACTCATCTAACAAAAGAGATCCAACAGGACCTCCTGCCCTCAAAAAGAGTGAAGTCCACAGCAAAATGCAGCGCAGTCCATCAGTCTGAAGTCTCACAAACTAAATGATGATAACAGTAATAACACAGATGTCTAAATTTTGCAAAATTCATCGCCGGTGCACGATTCTGCCAAAATTTCTTCGGACACTTTGCTTGCAAAAAATACGCGCTAACGCTCCCATTAAGCGAGCTGGCTTCCCAACTGTCTGATGATCATACATGATTAATGCCATTATATCATTAATGATATAACCTAACCCATCTC